CCTTCCCTGCTGAGCGGTGGTGGTGTGGCCGTGGTGGGCAGGGGAAGGCCGGGACCAGCCTCGTGGGCTTCGCTTCTGCGTGCCAGACCCGCGGGACGGTGGGAGAGGTCGGAACTGGGGCCGGGTGGGGAGCCTGGGGCCCGTGGGCTGTGAGAAGGGCTGTCTGCCCTTCTTCGTGAGCTCTGCGGGACGTGAAGGAGCGGGTTGGCCTCTCTTACATGGTGCATGAGAGATTCTCGGAGACGGGGCCTCATTAATATGTAAAAATCTGAAGCAGGGGGTGCCAAGGAGATGAAGCCAGGCTCCTCTTGGTGGTGCCAAGCACTAGGACAATAGGCAGCAGGCAGAAACTGAGGTACAGGAAATTCCACCTGAATAGGAGGAACTTCTTTCCAGTTACTGCGCACTGGAACATTGTTAAAAGAGTCTCCCTCACTGGAGATATTCAAGAGCCATCTGGGTGCACCCCTGTGCCGTGTGCTCTGGAGTGATCCACCTTAAGCAGGGAGGTTGGATGAGATGACCCGCTGTGGTTCCTTCCAGCCTTTCCCATTCTGTGATTCAGTGAGGTGCTCTTGGCACACAGTACCCTCACATCTCTGCAATGGAGTCTGGCTGCACCCCAGCACATATCGATCACTGGGCCCTTGATCACTGTTGGCTCTCTCAGCTTGGTGGCACTTAGGGCTGCAGGGTGTGGGAAGGCCCGCTAAACCGTGGCACCTCCCTGCAAAACACCCTTACTGCCCTTAGCAGCAGTATAATTTTGCTGCAGAAGCAGCACTAATCCAAGTTATTTAGCTACAACTGTGATCCTACTTAGTTCAGCTCTGTGTTTTAGAAGAGTCTGCTGTTTTCCAGTGCTAATAGGTGACTGCTCACATCTTACTGCAATGTGCTGACACAAAAAACCTGTAGCACATGTGAGTTAAGATGCCACTATGATTATGTTGTAGCATACATGTAAGCTGTAGAGTTTAATGGATTATTTCCAGTTCTCTTAAATGGGGTGACATAGTGAGAGTTTTAACAAGATGGTTTGCCAAGCGTTCATCAGACTCTTAAAGTATGAAATGTCCCTGTCTTGTTTTCAGTATCATAGTTTTCCCAGCTGAATTTATGCTGAAACAAACTCTGAAGATGAGGGAAATAATCTATGCTGTAATATTAAACAAAAGCATCTGAGAGTCATTCTCATAAGGAAACATCAACAAGGCTTTTTACTGGCATAAGGATTAGGAGATTCTTGTCTTCTGTGTCAGAACAGCAATACAGAAAACAGCAGCCTCAAAAAACCTAATAGGAAATATTCATGTTCTTGTCTAGACTTGCATTGAGTGGAAAAAACAGTGTTTATCTGTGTTCAGTAACTATCCTAAAACTCATGGCTGCAAGTACATTTACATGTTAGGATAGGATTGCTTAAAGCTTGGTAGGGTGTTTGTGGATTATATGTAACTATTTAGTCTCATGTCATGAAGAAATACTTGTCTTCAAATAAGTGAACAGTCAAAAAACCATTATAGGGCATTAAGAGGTGTTTGAAGAATAGCATTGAGTTATCACTCTTGGTTTGGTAGGATTTGAAGAGTCAGATTTCATCTCTATGGCTCCATTTGTTTTTATTGTTTGGGGTCTTTTTTTGCTTTTTAATTCCTGCTACTCTTGTAGCCACAATCTGTTCCCAGTATTTCTAATACCTTAGAACAACAAAAAATGTATCAGGTTAGGTAGTGTGTCAGAGGGGAAGGAAAGATGACAAGGCTTACCATCTTCGTTATCACCATTGTTACATGAGTGATATATAAGAAATTATTGAATTTTGTATTTCCAGCAAGGATATTCTTAACATTGGCAGGAAGGAGGAGAGAAAATATTACTCATTGGTCTTTAATGTTTAAAATACTGTTTAATAGAAAATGTACGCTGTCCTTGTCATTGGAGGATTTCTCTACCAGAATGGTAAAGCTCTGTGAAACCTGATATTACTTTGCTTTTAAGAAGTTGAACTAAATGACTTTCTGAAGTCTCTTTCAACCTGAATTAACCCATGTCCTGTGTATCAAATATGAATGGGATTTGTTTGAATTTACTTTTAAGGAAGTGATTTCCTCTTCTGTTACCCTTAGCTTGAGATATTAAAATGATTGTGTATACCTTTAAAAAAAAACCAAACAAACCCCCCCCCAAAAAAAACCCAGAAAAACCCCACTAAACCCAAGCTAATGTGAATGTTGTGTATTTTTTGTTTTAGAACATGGATACACAAAAGGATGTTCAGCCTCCAAAGCAGCAGCCAATGATTTACATTTGTGGAGGTAAAGAAAACTGTAAAAAAAAAGTTGTATTACTTATTACTGGAGATTCAGTGTTTTAATAATGAATAGTGTTTAGTCATTATAGTGAAGGGTACATAGATACAAATAGTTGCAGTGTATATGCTGATGATGTTTAAAGCTTTATGCATATGATGGTAGCACATATATGGGGTACATATGCAGTGTTGTGGAGGTAATTCCCTAGAGCTTGTGTTGCTGTGTGGAGCTCCTCAGTCTTTATGTGTTTTATAGAGAGTGCTGCAAGGGCATTCAGATTTCGCTGAAGTACACGAATCAAATTCTCTCTTACTTATAGATAAATCAACAACTTAAAAATTTGTGATTTTCAAGAATCACTGTAATATTTTGTCCTTTAAGAAAACAGACTCTGGGTTTTCTAGGGATGAACTGAAATTTTCATTAGTAGACAGTTTAGTATCAAATCTGGAATGTGCTCTGTGCAGTAATATTTGGGTGATTTTTAGCAAGATTCTCTTTTATCTTAAAGTAAGTGAAACGTGCTTTTTATTTTCTCTTTTTCTTTTTTTCACGGTATCTTGTTGTCATTGCTCTTGATACAGATTCATTACACTTGCTATGTTTATTTGCCACAAATAGGAATTTGACTATTACAACTTCTCAAAGTTATCTGTGCATTAACAATGCTGTTTTTCTTTTCCCACTTCTTTTTCTTCCTCCTTAACATCAGAATGTCATACAGAAAATGAAATAAAGGCAAGAGATCCTATCAGGTGCAGAGAATGTGGCTACAGAATAATGTACAAGAAAAGGACAAAAAGATGTATCCTTTTACACGTGCACTTGAATGCATTTGGGAAGCTGTGGGTAGAGACAAGGGGAAACCGAATAGAAGACTCAAATAATTACATAGCAATTCTTCAAGATCAAAAATCAGAACAGTAGAGCAAACTTGTATAGCACAATCTGTAGTGTGATTTGGCACCTTGATTTCTTTTCTGGCACTTTCTCTTTTTCTTTTTTTCATATTCTATGCACTATGCATATTCTATATGCAGTATGATACATTATATTATGATAGACTGCTGGGTAATGTACTGTGAATTGTTGATATTATTTAACAGCTTATTAAAGATGTCTTTTTGAATACTTAATGTAGATAGTTGTGACTAGATTTACACAGTCTGTTTTCCTCTGCCCATCTTTTTTTCAACCACAACATATTTTTTTCTTTAACTTTATTATTCCAGTGGTGGTTTTTGATGCTCGATGATGTCTGCTGACATCATGTGACTTAATGATGTAATCTTTCTGATAACTTTGTTCTGTAAAACTGTTTGTGTGTTAATGCACACTCTTACTTGTGTTTTAAGAGTTCGAAATATTAAAGTTTACTGTAATACTAAATTTTGTCTATATTGTCTTACAGCAATATATTTCTAAAGCTGTTTAAATTGCAGTCAAAGTACTCAGTAGTTTTTAAATTCAGTGATAATTGTATTCTTTTTGAGTTATCTTTGTTTTCATTACTGTTATCTAAACTTTATTTGCATTTTAACTTTGCTAAATGTTTTTTGGACTCCTGTGAACTGCATAAAATAACTGTGGTTTGAATAAATTCCACTAAAAAAAGTAGAAGGTATCGCACTATATTAGCAACGGCGAAAGTACGACACAGACTCTCTAGCCTTGGTTGCAAAAGAGGGCAAGTTTTATTCTTCCAGATCTTCTTTTATAGGCAGTTCAAAGAAGGTCCAAAAAAATAAAACTCTAATTGGTCGTTAAACCAACATCACCATCATTGGACAGTTAGGAACAACACCTCTTGACTGTTTCTTGCAAGTAAACAACAAGGCGACAACACCTGCAAAGGTTGTTTTTCTTCTCTAAGGATTGTTTGGATTCCTCCTTATGATTTCTTAAACCAGAGTGAGAAAGTTATGTGACTTAATTTCACACAGGCTCAAGCTATTGCCTGAAGCCTAAAAATCTCTTATTTGACCATTGTCAGTTCCCACAAGAAGGCTAGGTTTGAAACAGATCTGGATTACAAACAAGAAAATCTTAAAGGACTTCAGAGCACCCAGTTCTGGCACCCAGTTGTGAACATGTCAAAAGTATGGATGTCTCGAAGTGTGAAAAAAATAATTTCTCCTGAAAGAAGAGGGAGAGGGAGGCAAGTTAAACATTAAGAAACAATGTGGAAACAGAAATTTCTTAAGTGCTGTTTGACTTCTTTGTTTTCAAGGAAAGAATTAGATCTGTTACAAAGATTATTTGGGTAGCACCCTAAAGCTAAAGTGGGATCTTATTTTACTTTTCAGATGACTTTTCAGGGGTCTGTACTAAGTGGTGGGTTTGTAATGATGAGCCAAAACTTTTTGCATCTGTCTGTTTGGAATGTGTGTTACATAATACCACTAAAGGGTACTACAACATACTTCAGGAGTGTGTGTGCCTGATCTCCGTTTTGATGCTGCTAATGGTGCTGTTGAGATAACTTGCTTAATTCATCTTTGTAATAATATCTTTTAAGATCTGCATGACTTTGCTGGCTTATAAATGAAGTGGCTAAGATGCTGTTTTGGAGCTGTTTGGTTAAGATTTTCTTAGGTACCTGATCTATACTATTAAGCCTAGATTTTTTCCTGGAAACCAGATACACTCGGGTATAAACGATAATTTTTTTTTACTACGCTCTTGCTATCGGTTCACCAGCCTGGCCTGCAGAGCGAGCACTTTGTGCCTGCATAGCAGAGGGAAGGGGTCGGATACTGACACAGCTGCTCAGAAGGACGAGGAGGGAGGAGCAGCGCTGCCGAACGGAGGCGGGTCTGGCCCCTTTGCGGGCACGCCGGGTGCCTCTGGCTGCCGGACAAAGGCGGTGAAGAGCCTCCGCTGCCCTCGGGAAGGGTCACGGATCTGCTTCGGAGAGCAGTGCCGGGGGAGCGCAAGGCTCACGGGCACCACTGGTGTGGGCGCCTGGGGACACCGGCGAAGGGAGGCGGACCGCTTGCTCTCAGCTGAGTGAAATACTGCGCTGAAACCACAAGGGTGATGCTCGCTAGAGTTGCACCCCCGGGTGCTGTATTTCTGCCCGCCCTCGGCAGGCGCCCCCTCAGCCCTGATCCCCGCCCTGACGCCAGCCGCGTCTGCGCGGCCTGAGCGGGGCTCGGGCGGACCCCGGCTGCGGTGAGGGCCGGGCCGCGTCCC